CATTAGGCAACAAGTGATTCACATATACACATAAAAACACAAAATATAGGGTATAGATTTAGGGATTTGATGAAAATTGTTTTAGAACTAAAATCACCGATGTATAATCATTCCTTTCTCATGGCTCTGCTTACTATGCTTAAGCAACCTAGTAGACTCAAATCTCATAGGTTACTATAACAAGAAACCATGCATGAATTTTGAAAAGGTTACTATAACAAGAAACCATGCATGAATTTTTTCAAAATTCAATTGCTCACAATACTATAACAAAAAAGCATGCGTGAACTCGCATGTTATAACGTTTTTCTCACCAAATACTAGTTCATGTAAATAGATGCAACACTCTCAAGATCTTATCCTCCTAAAATCAGATTGTTAGATAACACAAAAAATCAATAGATTATTTGTGAAAATAAAGTTGAAGAATCCATATGGTAAGCCTTGGAAATTTTGATATCAATCAAAATATAACTATGGAATCATTGAAAAACCTATAACCTAACAAGTAAATTACCTAAACATCATTAAAGTAAAAATGCATTAGCAAGTATAAGCATAAAACGTCATAGATAAAAATTTTGAAAGATTATAGTGATAGAAAATCTTCTACAAAGCGAGATCTCTTCCTACAAGCTTTTGGAATCAAAACTTACGAAAAAACTATGAATAAAAACGTGTAAGCATCTTATGGTGAATATATGTGGTTTCTTATGCTCGATAAAAGGCTAAAAGCAAGTATGTAGCCCTAAAAAAGTCATAGGTCACCTAAGGTTTAATCTTGAACAAAAAGAAAAATTTACTTCTTATGGTCAATACTTAACAGGAGTATTGGGTAAGATATTTTGACTGATAATAGGGTACCTATTAGGAGTGTACCGGCATGAGGTATATGTAAATCCATGACTGGTACTGGTCCTTTCTTCCTTCAGATTCCTGTGCTAACTTCTCCTTCTAGCCACACCAACATATCTTCAATAAAAATTAGTGTTGTAACGCCCGACCGCCGTCGAGCTATCGGTATGCAGGAGAAATCATCATCTCTTTAGGAGAAAT